TTTCAGCAAATGCCTCAGCAGTGCGAGGTTCTGCTTTTCCGTTGTTCTGCGCAGTTGTGAACTGAACGTTGTTGGCCCCTTGTTTGAGACGTGGGGAGCTGGCTGGGGCTGCTGTGCCTTCCCTGTACAGCAGCCAGCACAGTGGCTGGGCTGAGACTGCATCTCGCCTCTTCACGTACTCGACTCCTGAATTCAAAGGCAGTGGTGCCACTCGCAAGACAGCGTAGATGGCTTTGATGCACTGTAACAGAAATGACCCGTGCCTTTGCTGGCATGTCTAAAGATTTTAATAACATCAGAGAAAAAGTGTGCCTTTTGTGCTGATATTTCTAAGCTTTGTAAACTCAACTGTTTTCCTTTTACTATAGATCAGCTTTTGCAAGGTATTAATTAGATCTGTGAGGTCTAAGAGTAGGGAGCCTTTTGTCACAAGGCTTGTTTCAGCAATGCTTAGCTCTTTGTCTGAACTGGAAATTCTTGGGGGTCTGCAAATCAGGAAGGTCAGCAACTGTAGTATTAGAAACACTGACAGATAGTGCATGAAAATGAGACCTCACCTCTAAAATGAAAACTGACCTCTAACCTGAGGAATGAATCCCTGTTACCCCCGAGTAACACCCTGATGGCATTTCTGAATCCCTCTAATTTTGTACAATGCACTTTGTGTGTGTGTCTCTAACTAGTGTAGAGAGGGAGTCCTTTTAAGGTGAATTTTTTAGAAAGCACACATCACTGACTCCAGTGTAAATTTTGACAATGACTTTGGTGTCAGCAAGGGTAGGTGACTCCTAACCGCTTCAGAAGCTCTTGCCTTCGGACATGTCCTGCGTCCACGCTGCCGTGCTCTTTGCTGGCGGCTGCAGATGCGAAGCTCTCGGCTGCTGAGGGTACAGGAGGCAGAGTCAGTTCCCATCTGCTCCTGGCCCTCCACGAACACGGCTTGTGAGCCTTGGCAAAGCACACGCCCCCGGGTGCTTCGCTGGTGTGGTGGGTAGTCCCTGGTTTTGACTAGAGTCTGATTGCGTTGGTCTAATAGCAAAGCTTCGGTCAGTAACGCCGGCACAGGAGCGCTCGTGGCAAGCATTGCTGCTTCGTTCTAAAGGCAAATAAACCTGACGTTAGCACCTTTCTTCTGCTTACTGTTGCCCCTTGTCCACTTTGCACGTAGTTTGTCCTCCTGGTTCCAGCTCCTGGCAGGAGCAGCCCGGAGTCAGCAGTTGAGCCGCAGAGTGCTGGGATGAGGTTGCCCGTTGCTGCGGGCAGGCGGTTGTGTTTGTTTACGTGGGAGCCTGAGCTTAGGTTTTTGAAGTTCAGGGAAGAGGTGAAGAGGTGAAGGAGGGAAAGCAAAAAAGGATATGTTTCAAATCAAAGCCTTTTGATACTGGAATTGCCTAACTCAAACTCTTGTCTTCACACATCAGGGCTTAATGCTGATAGTGATTTACTTACACTTCCTAGTTAATAATTAGACATTGGGAGACACCATATATCACTCCTAATGGAATATATGGGGTCTGATGAGAGTTTTCTGTTTTGACTAATAAATTTTAACCAGAATCGCCAAGCTTAATGAAATATTACAGCTTCGGAAGTGTTTTAAGTCTTGTGCTGTGAAAACAGTGTTGCTTTACTCAGTAAATGAATTTATCATTCATTCTGTATCCTGAGTGCTAGCTGGCTCTGGAGCAGGGGCTGAATGCAAGACTCTGAACTAGAAAGCGGAAAAACTAATCAAATCCTTAAAGACCAAAGGCAGCGAGGCAGGTCTAGACTGACTTTTTCAGTGGTAGCCTCTGGCTACATCCACTTTCATTTTAGTAACCATTGTTAGCATGATTTATACCTTTAGCTTTAAGACGTACACTATTTAGATGTAATAAGATGCTTCGCAGCTTTTATTTCTATTTCCTAATTTCCCTCTCGTCCCTGCTCTTTTTTTACTTCCCCCTTGTCTTTGTCCCCCTCTTTTCTCCCCTGGAGTGTCCCCAGTCCTGCAGTTGATGCTGCATTGAAAGAACATTTCGCTGTCAGCCCCAAGGTCAACAAAGCCGCCTCTGCCTCAACTAATGGCTGATCGGCTGGTGGCCTAGTTAGTGCCGAAGAGATGACTGTGTGCAGGGTTTAGTCTCCTACTGCTGCTCAAGGCTTTTCCCTGCTAATTCCCTACACAGAGGAGAGGATATGTCCCCAGCAAATAATGGGATCCCTGCTGTTGCCCTGCTAAATGCACACAGTTCAGCTCCTTGCCCTTCACGGCCGTCAGGGGAAGCGCTGCCTTGCCAGGAGGAGAGCGATCCTGACCAACAACATCCTGCCCGCTTCCCAGGTGCAGCGTTGGCCACCTGCCCCAAAAATCCTGTTCTAGCCGCGCGGACCCGCTTGCGAGACCTCAGCGGCACTTTCTAGTCTGCCAGTCTGGGGATCTGGTGGGCCGCCAGGAAGAACAAGTCCTGCTGAAAATGGCTTGCAGCTTAGTTTTCTGAGAGCGTAGGATGTCTGTGCGTTACGGCCTTCTCGTGCCTTAGCCTCTGCCGTTACTACTCAGCAGTTTTTTCTGTGCATCGTGCCAAGGAAGCAAGATGAGAGGAGACAGTAAACACACCTTATTGCTGGTATAGGAAGAAACCACTAAAACCTTGCTGCACCATTTCTCGCTGCTGTTAAAACCCTCCCTCCCACCTTGCTTTTGACAGAATATTGACTAGAAACCAAGATCCCATTTCTGCTTAGCCTTAAGGGCAGCTGTTTACAGAGTGGCGGTGTTACATAGGTTTACTGTGTCGTATGTCTGTGTAACACTGGATTTGGATCTTGTATTTAGCTGCCAGAAGTGACTGTGATGAAGTGGGAGAGATAAACTGATAGATTGTGTGCCAGAAAGATGTTGGGAATCAATCAGATAAACAGGGCAGAGAAGTAGCTTGCTGTTTTCTAGTGATAATAAACCAGTGGCCTCTCCTCCTTGAATTTTTAAATGTAATTGCTGCAGTAATAATCTCCAAAAATAAGAAAATAGAAAAAAAAAAAAGTCACGGCAGGTTTTTAATTAAGTTTGAATTGCTCTTTTTATTGTAATATGATGTATGCCTTAAAGGAGAGGAGAGATGTGGACAGGTATAAACATTATCTCTGTTACTTGAGTGTCTCTTTATTTGAAAATAAAAAAGGGTCATAAAATAACACCCATCTACCTTTATGGCATTTTTCTTTTGTGGGGTGCACACCTCTTCTCCTCCCTCGCTGCAGTAGCGTGCTTAAGCAGCCAGGAACCGTGGGGGTCAGTGAGTTCTCGGGTGGCCCCGTGCCCGGGACAGCTTTCGGCGTGGGCTGTGCTTGGTGGGGCAGCGTCCGAGGGCACGCTGCTCCGGGCACAGGGGGAGTCAGGACCTGAGCTGAGCTCAGAGGTGCCGCCGTTTCACCTGAGCTGGTATTTCCTGGCTGCGTGGGGCTGTGGAGCTTCTTTCTTGTCCTCTTGCCTTGTCTGGGCATGCTGTCTCGGGCCAGGGGGGACGATAGGCAGGGCCATGGCTGCTCTCCGGGCCCTGCTTTCTGTGGCTGTTACTGTACCTCGATTGACCACTGCAGTCCAGCTCTCCTACAAAACTACAGGGTGGAGGAAAAGCATCTTTCATCCTTCCCTCTCTGGCACCTCTGTGGAATTACCTGGACTCTCTGGTTTCCAGGTGGGTCTCTTGGGTGATTTCTGAGCTGAGGCAGTAACTTGATCAGTCAGGGAAATGTTGGCACCTAGAAAGCAGTCTGTTCCCCTCAGGTTTGGAGGGTTTATTTCTGTTCTTTGTGTTAAAATGTTGGCTAATACCCAAGGCACAGCACATACAATTTACAGTGAGTGGTGATAAACATATAGCATTGGTCAAGTATCCAAAAAGGCCGTTCACAATATTCTTTGGCTGCAGGAAGCAAAAAGGACAAAACCCAACCCTCAGGACATGAAAAGAAATAGAAAAGCCTGCTTGAGCATTCCTGCTTTTGCTGTAAACATTATTTTGCTGTGCTGTTCCTCAGAGCGAGCATTACTGCCCAGCAGTGCTTGACTTCTGTTTGGTGAAGTGTTTCAGTTCCCCCCTGCCCACCCCACTCGATGTGTGGGGCGAGACCTGTGGGGCAGAGGTCTTCAGATCTATCCGCGTTGCATCTCTTGCCCATGGGAGTTGTGTACACAACAGCCTGTGAGTGTTCAGGCCTTTTTTTTATCCTTCCAAAACTCCGAGGAACAGTACCAGTCTCTGAAATACAAGCTGAGTTCTTCATTCTGCCCCTCTGGCTGAGAAATGACCATCTCATGTCAGGTTCAGCTGCTCACATCCCCCCCGGCTTGTCACCTATTGACCCTCTCTGGGATTGTACACTGCTCTGGGCTCCTGGGACCTGCAGTTTCTGGATGGTTGGCCCATCTGACAATCCCAGAGGAGGCTTTGCAGAGCCCCCAGGGATTCCAATCCTTTGCTGTTGCTTAGACTTAGGATCATTAGTTTGCTTTGCCCATGCGAGGCTGCTTGTGCTTGGACCAAGGTGCTGCTAAACCGGGCCCCTCTGGCTCTGCATAACCTTGTAGATTCTCGTCAGATGAATGACACAATGCTACATGTTACCTAAATAAACCATGGTGTGTTGAAGGGAAGACCATACTACTAAATCCATATGAAAGTATATGTAGAAACTCTTTTTGGTGGCCTTCAGTGTTACGCTCATCACATATTCTACAGGGACCTTTTTGGAAGAGGGGGATGATCTACAGTTACTCGAAACTATTAGCATATCCATCAGTTTTTTCCTTTGGAAAACTCTTTTATGCAGAGGAAATGTTAAAAGCCTTGGTGCTTGGCTTGGGGTTTTCTAAAGAGCTTCAAGAAATGAGGCGTGCAGGTTCCCTTGGGAACTTTAGCTAATTTCTTGTCTCCTGAGAAACCTGTGAGTCTGTTTGCATGAACATGTCTTTACTGTGTTTGTAAAAGGGATTGTTGTTGTCTTTCTTGTAGCTCCTTCGAGAATTTATAGAACGTAAAACCACTTCATTGGACCCCAACGACCAGGTGGCAATGGGCAGGTAAGTCGGAAGCTGTCAGTGCTAGCTTCACCCCAGCACTGCATCCCAGTCCAGAAGTGCAAAACTACCTGTGGGCTTCCAGTCCAGCTTATTGTAGAGGGCAAAATTTGGAATGACTACAGAGAAAGCATTTGGGTGTAAGAAATTGCATACCAAGTTATTAAAACAGTATGACATTAGTCAGGAAAGTCATCCTCTGTAACATATTCCTTGGTTATGGATCACACTGCCTGACTGCGTTTGCCAGCCGTTGAGCTGTGCCCTGGTTTGTCTGCGATGCCCCGAAGATACTTCCCAGGTTTAAAAGGCTTGTTCCAGACTTGGGATATTTCTGTCTCTCGGTGGTTCAGGCAGCACAGGGGGAATCCATAGAGGGGTGACGAATGACCTAGTGAGGGGGAACTAGACAAAGTGACTGCCCACTGCTGAAATTCGGCCTTTTCTCATGACGAGCTCTGATTTGTCGTCGTTTTAGAGCAAACCTGTTGTGAGATTGTTAAAGCAATTCCTGTGTGTGCTCTCTCCCTGCTGTAAGAAAAGATACTATACAATTAGTATCAGGGAACATTTCCTGCATGTAGAAGTAAAATATAATTCCATGCAGGGAAGCTCTTATTTCTCTGTTTATTTCTATAGTTAGAAAATAAAGAATCTTCCCAATACCACTTAATGAACAGTGTACATTTAAGTGGCTATGGGCTCTAATTTAGAAAAGTGTAAAAGCAGAGGCAGGCTGGAAATGCTGGAGTTGGGCTCCCCACTGAAAAAGGGGTATGTGTATGGGGAGGGGGAGAAAACGTGTTAGGAAATTTTGTGATGGTGAAATAACTTCTATCCATGTAAAATATTACCAAAATTTTAGTGTAATGTGTCAAATTTATTTTGTGTGTATCTGGAATATTATGGAAAGCTATTCACTATAATTTAACATGATATAGACAAAATTACATTTAAGTGGTGATTACATTGTACATTTATCTGACTTTACAATAAAATAGATTACAGTAATTAAGATTATATTAAGATTGCAGTAATTGGATTTTGCTAGATTTTTTTCCCTGATGTTGAATTTTCATTGTATAAATCAGGTAAGATGACGCTCGTTTTTGTAAAAAAAAATATTTATAACTAGTAGAAGTTTTCCCAGCAGCAAACTTCTTTGACTTGATGAAGTTCTGTTTGAGGAGTTGAGCTCTCCCTTCTAAATACAGTTGGGATCAGACAGCACTTTCTGAAAGTGTTTATTGCTTTTCTTTCTTTTGTAGTTTTTTGTAGTTAACGGTTGGAGCGTTCTATAGGACTTCTTGCTAGATTTGCCAGGTTTAAGTCAGAGATGGTGGGGAGAAATACTTGCTTATAATTTTCAATGTACTTTGCAAAACTGAGGGAGGAAATGAATTCAAGGCACCTACTGCATCATGGTAATTCTGTCCATGAAGTTAGCATAACCTGTCTCACTTAAAGAATCAGTTTAGGATGTGGCAGACCATCTGTTCTGTTCTGGGCTTTCTATATGCAAAACAGAAGTCATTCTAGTAATCAAGGCTGAAAAAAGCCGTATCTGTAAAGACTTTTTTTTAATTTTTCTTAGGTTTTAGCATTTATATTCTGTAAAGATATTATTTTTAATTCTGCAGATTCTTAAAAATACTCAGTAATCAAGAAAGAATGAAAAATGGAGCCGGGCCTGTGGCCTCCATGGGTTTCCTGCAGGTAGAATGTTCTCACTGAACAGTGGCTGTCTCATCGGGGTCAGCAGGTCTGGTCTGCGTGTCCCGCTGTGACTGGAGTCAGGGAACTGCTTACTGGGTGATGCCCTCTCTGGGGTGAGGCAGTACCACGGGCACTGGAGGTTTCGTACTTGTTTTCCTGAGGTTCTGATCTCCCTCGCTTGCGTAAATGCAACAGGTGGAAGGGCTGGGAAGGGCCTCAGCCCCCAGTGTATCTAATGCTCATTTTTCTAGTGGCTCCAAAAGTCGTGTACCTGTTGTTTTCCATTCCTCAGGCAATGGCTGGCCATCCAGAAGTTACGAAGCAAAATAAAGAAGAAAGTGGACAGAAAAGCCAGTAAAGGCAGGAGAATCCGGTGGGTGACAGCTTCTGCAAGAAGTTCTGATTTTGCCAAATAAAGTCTTGGCTGCGTGGGGCTGGCTCTGGGGTGCATTGGTAGGCTTATTCATGCCTGTTAGGGCAAGGTGTCTTGCTCTGGGACATCCAGTGGGGAATCTTGGTGTTCTTTGCGCCTACAGTAAGGGCTTGGTGGCGTGCAGCCTGTGAGCGCTGCCCAGATCAGTCTTGGCAAGAGTGTTCACTGGTCGCAGAAAATGCTGGAGAGAGGTGTTCAGATGTCCCTAGGTGATTTGGGGCTGTAATTCCCAGTGAAAGCCAGTAAACGCCTGTTGTGCGATATATATTTAACTGACTAAAGCGTGGATAGCAGCTCGAGGGGAAGATGTGCAGAAGTGCCTCAGTGAGGCAGATGTCTGTTTCCCTCTGACTGCCAGTTGGAATTTGGTGTCTAATCTCTCTTTATTTTTCTAAGTCCCATCGCAGCTTTCTTTAGCTTCAAAACATTTCACATCCTGACTCCTGGATCACTAATTTGGGATGATTGTTGTGTTTCCCGTGGAAGAATATTCCACGTGGTAGGGTGGAAAGGGAAGCAGTCTGGAGAACGTAGGTTTTTTTTTTTTCCCCTTTTGCAGAGCAGATATATTAGTCTCCCTGAGTTTAGCATGACTGGATGATTTGTAGTGGAGGAGGTGTTTGTGGCAGGGAGGCATGCTGAAAAGCTGCACTGCTTCCTGAAAAATCCGCAACATTAACCATCCTTTTGTGAGTAAACTATAAATCGTGAGTTTAGATGGCATCTGATAGAAAGTCAGTGGAGTCAGTCTGGGTCAGGCCTGGCATAGCAATTTTTAAGATAGATGTCATAAGATAATTTATTAAAAGAGGGAAGAGCTACTTTGTTGGCCTGAAAAGCCTATAATTATTGACTATCAATATTCTTTTCTGTCAGCATCACACATAATTGGATATATTCATGATTCAGTCAAAACTACTGACAGCATCACACAACTGAGTCAGACTCGTAAACCTCCAGGAATAATGGGGAAGTCTCTCATTGTGTGCAATCTGTGCGCTTCAGCATTCCTGAGAGATCAGCTATCTCGCCAAGTCAATTGCCTCTTAGATCTTAGGTGCCTCTTTTTTTTCTTCTTTAAATAAAAGTTGTACTGACCCTGCAGGGAAAATATCAATAAAGGAGAAAAGTGTCATTGTCTGTGTTTAGGATTAACATGCAGTTAAGCTCCAGCATCTTTTCAGAACAGTCCAATAGAGCCTAAATGGGTGTTTTTAAATAGTTGGTTCTTTCACTCAGTGTCACCCCAAGCAGATTACTTATCCTCTGTTCTTTCTTTTCCTTCTCTAAAACTGGGACAGCGGTGCTTAGATTTGTTTTGAGATCCTGGAAAGCAAAGTATCATGTACTGAGTTTCATCTGTCTCCATAATTCTTCCTTTTTAGCCATCCTTTAGCAAACCTTCAGTGTTAGAGCATGTTTGCATGAAATTGCTTGTTTATTGTAGGGTCTGAGGATCCTCAAGTGCTTTCAAAAGCAGTTGATCTTATGTGTCCCCTTCACTGACAGGGATGTTGGGGCACTAAGAGGGGGAGTGAGCTCATCCTAAAACTCCACGGTCGAGCTTAAGAAACAGGGTGCCTAGAACTCTGCTACCCCTTGCTAGGACATTCCTTTTCTTCAGGTAGACACTGAGGAGCGATGTGTTTTTCATGTCCTGTGCTGCATGGAATGCCTTTCTGTGAAGGAAATGAAGTATTCTGCTAGACTGAGATTTTTTTTTAAAAAAAAAAAAGTCCTTATTTAAAAAACGTGACAGTGATTAGTTCTGGACAAACAACTTGTGTCAGAGAATTTGTCAGAATTGCTAAATCCCCTTGCACTACACAGGGCTGTCCCTGTAGAAGCTTTGATCTGTGCGAATCCATCAGTTGTCTCATAAGTGAACTGTTCCATAGTCCAGCCTGTTGACCTGTTGTTTGTTGCAGTACTAGCCCTGCATGGCTACATCTGTCAGCGTTAGACCAGGGCTGCTGCTTCCATTCCGAGTGACAAAGACTCGATTGTGCAGAGAAGCCCTTGTGTAAGGGTGAGCATGTGCTGTGCCTGAAGAGCCGTTCTGAAATAGACTTGTGAGCTAAAAATCCCCTCGAGGGAATGTTCCTGCATAAGCAAACAAAAGGGAGTGCAGAGGTGACAGAGTGGAAAGGTGATTCTGGGCAAATGCTTGTGAATCCTTTTGCCTGCTATTTGTCAAGCTCTAAAAATAGCAGCAGCTTGGATAAAACATTTCAGACTTGGGTAGGCAGCATGGTAGTGTACACCAAAAGCCGTTGGTTTGGAATCCCCTGCCCTTAGACACCAGGGTTGGTTTAAAGCCACCTTTTCAGTCAGAGTTTTTCTGTACTCTGTGAAATTTTATGTCAGGTTCTTCACTGCTAAGTTATGAAATCTACTGCAAATTCCTACCCCAGCGTGGAAAGTGGGAAAGGCGTCCCATACCTGGAGGTGCAGGACAGCTTGCAGAAATCTTCTGGTGGATAGGAAGCTGAGACAGATGCAGCACTGTATCACCTTCAATGTGCCCCATCCCTTCTTTGCATGGGTCCTTTCCCTGTCTCCTCCTTTGCTTGTTTTCACATGCTCCATCTGTAAGTTATTCAGAGTAGGACTTTCCAACTACGGGTATGGCTAGCAGAGTGGGATTTTGATATCCTTTAGGGCCCGAGATACCACAGAGCAAGGAAAAAGTGATAGCAGATGGATGCTTGAGGTCTGATGCTCTGACGCTTCTGCTGCCTGCAGTGGCCTCTTTGGGCACAAATTCCAGAAGGTGATTAAGATGCCAGCTGAACGGAAGGCTGAAAATGAGTTCTTGTTTTTCTGTCTGACTTTTCAGGGTTGTCTGTCTGGAAGTCTGATTAGGTACTGGCACACAATTAATGGATGCTGTATGTCCTCTCTCTAGCTGTGATAGAACAGGATTTGCTTGTTATTCAGTTCATTGTATCATCTGATTATTCTTGTGTACATGTTCTAAGAAAGGAGGAGGAGGGAGGGGAGGGGGAATTGCCAGCTCTAACTGGTGACTCATTAGGTATCAGCCACCAGGAAAGCCAGTGCTTTGCATTTCAGGGGCTGGTATGTGTCTATTCAAGCAGCAACGTTTCCTTTTCATTAATAGTTACTAATGTGCTGCCTGCTTATTTCCTGCACTGTTCAGGTATCATGTCCATAGCAAGCTGGTGAGCTTCATGGCACCTATTGACCACTGCACAATGAATGATGATGCCAGGTGAGTAATAGATTAATTATGTTTCTCAAATGGCTTCATGACAGCATGATATTGACCTGTTCTTCAGTCTGTCGCCTCCTCCATTTCTTCTTATCAGTTAACCATTTGTCACTGGCATCATGGCCTGGGTGTCTTGGTCACATCTGTCCAGGCAGTCTGGCCGAGCTTTCGCTCTATAATTACTGTGACACCAAACAAGAAATGTTCATAAATCTCAGTACCTACCCTGATTTTGAAATTGTGTTTTGTGGGAATTATTTGGGAAATAGACAACTAAGTTATCTGGTGTCTTCATGTATATAATCGCAACTTACAAAGAACTTGTCTTTTAACAGAAATGGCGAGTGGTTTAAATTCTGTTTGGTGTGCACTTTCTTACATCAGTTAATAACTGGAATAGTTCAGTCAAGATTCACTCAAGACCTAAATGTTGCTTGTGTTTGTGCCTATCTAAAGAGTGAAGAATTTTATTGGAAGACTATAATGTTTTAATGGGCTAATTAGTAAAGAAAATACCAGTGAGGTTTTGTGCATAGTTACTAGCTAGTTTTTCTATACATACATGCATATTTCTTAGCATTACATTTTTAAACTAAATCTCGAAATGCTGAGCTTTTTGTGGGAAGGAGGTGGAATAATTTTTCCAGTGAATGGATGTAGAAGGCTTGAGAAACATCTTTCCCCTGGGTTGTGGAACATGTTTGTGCTTTGTGAGAGAGAGATGTCATTTGTCTGTTTGTGAAATGGAAACCAAACACCTGCTGTTCTTTAGACTGTTGCCTTTTGGAGTATTGCACAGACTTCTGGAAGAGAGCTCTCTGGTAAGCTGGCACTAAGATATTCTGTATACATAATAAGACTAGTGCTGTTTCATCATGCATCTCATAGTTTCTTTACTCTTTTTTTTTTTTTTTTAAGTGAGAAAACTGCTCTGATTTCTGAATATTGCGTAGATCCTCTTGCCACAAAAATAAATGTGTTGCATGTGTAGGTGAAAGCTATGCCCCCAGCTGTATAAGGTGGTCAGTTCTTCCACCCCCCTACCTGGATCATAGGAGGAGAGGGACAAAAGTCACTTGGGTGCTGTGGCATTAGACATTTGCACTTTTCATCTAGCTGGCAGAGAAATCAAGTGCGATTTTGTTTCTGATAAGCAGGGCCTGGGCTAGCAGCTCTCTGTGCGTCCCAGCTGGGCAGTCCCTCCTCACCTGCATGGAATTGGTGTCTTTGCTTTTTTGGGTAGCCCCAAATCAAACACGGGACAAGACAGACATGCATTCCTAGTAGAGTTGTACCGTCCTGTAGAAATAGTTCTGGGATGTGCTGCTTGTTCCCACGTTTTTTTTTTGTCTGAGGGTAATTAGCAGGTGGCATGTGTGTATTAGAAGAACCAGTTCGTACCATATTCATTAGTAATGTGCATGATTCTGATATTTCTCTGTCTTAGCATTATGTCCAGTTGACTGGTTACTACTTATGCTTCAAGAATTCCAAATGAGGTTAAGGTGTCTGTCATTTTTTGCACTGTCCTAGAGGTTAGGCAGGCATGCAGAGCCCTGCTCTGTCCCTGGAGTGAGGGGAAGCTTAGCTTGCATGGGGTGTGTGTGAGGAGGACGAGGGTGAAAAAAAAATAGGGAGACTGATCCTAATAATTTTGGAGTTACACTGTTTGCTGTCCCCAGAGGTGACATTGCCTCCTCCTTCGCAGTCCACTGCACTCACTTGTGTTCCAGAAGTTGCATAGAAAATGCGTTCCATAAGCCAGAATCCTCCAGCAAGTCAATGCAAACGTGAAGCGCATCGAAACAGCTGGGACGGTGGAGTCGTTCTGCACAACAGCCTTCCTGGGCCTCAGCTACACTTCACGTGGCTGCCATCTTCGTAACCCTGATGCCCCTCGCTCCTCGGGAGGCACCTGGAGTCCACCACAGACTGCCCGGGGTCTGCCTGACCCTCAGAAGCCATTCCAGCTAATAGGATGCCATCTACGTTACGCTGTGTCGACACAGTTATCATTGTGGTAGGGACAGAGTGTTTGACATTTGGTTTCCTGAAAATGTCTCCTGGGGATTTTCTCCACATTGAGCGGGTTATTACATCGCTTGCGTGTTTTACTGATTCTTTTGGTGGCAGCAGTGTGGCAGCAGCTGCTGCTGCTTATTGTCTGACTGCGGGAACTTATTTCTTACATTAAGTTTATTAGTCACTTTGGAGGCCCGCCATACTTCCCGTTAATGGCATTTTAGTCACTCATCTCCTGATGAGGGTTGGGCCATCTAGAGTGAGACTGCCAGCTGATGTGTCTGCACACCAGCCCCTGTGCCCCGGGGTCATACCCCGTGGGCAGCTGTGTCCTCTTCTGCCAAGATCAGGCTTTCAGGTAAGCCCTGGATGTGGATGGGACAACGCCTGGGCAGGTTCTGGTCCTGGTTCTGCTGGTGGCTTCGTGGAGGACCTTGAACAGGTCGCTCTGGGTTTCTGTGCCCGATTCCCCTTCTGTGCAGCAGAGGTCTGCTGTTGCGAAGTGCCTGTAAGAATAAGTGGTTTACTAATACTAGCAGTATTATTTCACTTTTTAACATGCATAGGAAGGCTTTTGTTTCAGACAAGAGACAGATACACACGTAGAAGCCTAAGCTTTCCTCACTGTTAGCCAAAATGCTGCTGGTTACCTGTAACACAGAGTGTGCCTTACTGCTGCCTATCGGAGCATTACGGTGTTCCTTAAGCAGTTTCTCTGCGGTTTCCTCCCCACACGATGTGCTTTGGCATTGTTTAGTCCTAATGTTGAGCTTAAATTTCCCTCCGCTGTAATTTAAGTTTGTTATATCTTGCCCTCTTCAATGTGGGCTCTGAGAACAGATTCTTGTCTCCTCTTTGCAGCAGTCCTTCCACATTTGGGTGGGCATTTTTGCTTTGCACACTGAAAACCTGGGCCTCATTCAGCTTAGCTCGCTGCCTTTCCTTCCTGGTTTACACCATTTATGTTGGCATCCAGACATAAAACATATTCAAAATACTGGAGTGGCCAGTGTCTGAAAATTAGGTCTCTACAGGTGTTGTGGTTCAGCTCTCCCAAAATAAAGATATCTGTTGCTATCAGTCTTCTTTTTTCTTCTTTTTTTTTTTTTTTTTTTTTTCCCTTCACATCCCTATTTAAAATGTCCCTGCACTTGCCATGGGCCATAATACCTCTCTAGCAGCACACAGCCACACTGGACAAGGCAGGAAGAATTCAACATCTGCTTTAAACTGCAGGTGAATTAAATAGAAAGGACCAGGCCTGTACGCATGAGAGGGAAGCAGTAATGATAACAGCTTTCCTTTGTGACAGAAGAAGGTAATTTTATTGTTTGCAAGTGTGAATTACTAGATTGAAAATGCAAGTATACACTTCACAGCGATGTGATCATGCTCTGAGCCATTTTTTTTTCTGGTCAGGCACTTAAAAGGCATGACCCCAAAATAAATACACATCTGAACAACGGGGCACTCTGCGTTGTAGAGTGAGAAATTTTAAAGTGTCAGGGAGCTGTATATAAAAAAGGGTTGTAGGAGCAGAGCTGGCAGAACATTCCCCTTAAGTTCCACCAGTGGCTACAGTGGCAGGTAGCTACCTGGAGAATGCCAGTAAATAAATATGTACGTGCAGATGGGGAGGGGCAGAATCTTGGGGGGGTGGCGTAGAGCCTGGGGGGGTGCAAGTGGTGTAATTCTGGGTCTTCCTTGGCTGTGCCAAGTCTTCGCTCCCCGTGATGAACTCCCCTTTGTCACTGGGGCGAAAGCAGAGGGGAGTTGTCTGTGGCTCTGCTTGCTTTGCTTGCTGTAGGTGCTTTTGAATGCACGAGTCTGTAGCACCGTAATACCTTGCTGTTTACTTTTTGTATTTCTTTATTTTTAAATGTATATTTAAATAGCTAATGCAGCCTAGGAATACATCTGGGGCCTGATTGTCCTGGACGTTTAAGCCATTTTACGCTACTCTGGCTGTGCAGAGAGACCGTAAAATAGTGCAAGGAACTGCCAGCACTCACTGAGGGGCCGGGTGTGGTGGTGTCCTGGCTGGGGGACGCCCAGGACTTTTGGGGATCTGGCACGTCAGGTTTATCACTTGCCACTGCCGCTGCCTGGGGAAACAAAGAGCAAATGCGTGTGAGGAGAAACAGCCTGTGCGCTGCATGGAGAAGGGGATGAACAGTCACTCCAGAATTGTTTTACAGCCTGAATTTGAGAAAAGAAGCGTACAAGTATAATAACTGCCTTTGTCAACATCACTGCCACTTTCTTTCTTGCTGCTGGTTGGAATAATAGCATTCGTGCAGGCAATTAATCTTCCACTTGCCAGTTTTTCATGCACCCTACGCATGGGCATGGCTGTTTAACCTTGTGCTCACATATATTATGCTGTAATGTGTGGGCCACTGGTGGCCTCAAGCCCTCCTCTGTTTTAACCCCTCTTTGGTAGTATTTTAAAACATACACTGGAAAGTGATTTTTATGGTTATCTTGGGGTATATGTTTATAGACTTAAATACATTTATTGTACTCTTGGGCCAAGGTTTTTCTAATCGGTACAAGGTCATTGCTATGTAAATGGGCCTGCCCTAAGACAAGGAACCTGAAGGCAAAAGCTTGAATGCGAGTGTGCTGTGGTGATTGTCCAGGGGAGAGGAATGCTGTCGTGGGCAGGAATTACCCAGGATTAGAAGAGGGTTGATCTCTCTGGTTGTGATTTCTCCTGGGTTTGAGGGTGGCATCATGTGGGTGCCACTTCTTGGACTTTCCTTGAAATATGCGTATCCCATCTGCATGACCTAGGGTACTTTGCTGATCCCAAAGTGAGGAGTGTAATCTTCAATATAATAAACCCGCAGTGCCGCCATGTGCAACAGAGTTGAGAGGATGCCAGTCTTCTCTGGTTTACACTTGGGGAAATGAGGCGCAGAGAAACGATAGCCTGTATCTCCACAGGCATTTGGTCCCAGCAGTCCGTGAGTTGG